TCTATACATTCTATCCCCATCAATTTAAAAGACTTATATCACCCATAACCAACACAATCAACCCTAAAGAAAATGCACAATGCCCCGCAACTCTCTGGTCACTTACACGCATCGCTCCTTCCTTCGTGTCTTCTGGCGCATCTGCCGTAAGAGAGACGAAACCGAGCTACTTGTGTTGGTATTCCAATATTGCATTGTCTTCAGTTTTACCTTTACCCACATTATGCCAGAACAGTTGGGGGAGGGAAGTGAGTATAAGCCAAATTCATACCAACAACCAGAGAATATAAGTTAAGGACTAATTTCACAGCTTAATAGGTCACACGATACTAATTTTGCCTCTGTATTTCTAAATCACTTTGCTTTGGTTTATCCTCAGTGGCACAGAGAATAAAGTCAGAATTGTGTGTCGACAGACCCAATAATCACCGATATCTCGTTAACTGCGAATCTTTAAGGGAAAACCCAAACCAATGTACAGATATGCAGCTGGTCTGGAGGTATGCAACTTCCCAAACCACCCGAATCTTTGTACGCTGTTTAGGCGTCGCCTACGTTAAATGTTCACGACCGTACTCGAGTGACCCGAGTGATTTTTGAGTCCACGGACACGCGATAAATATTTTCGGGTCTTCTTTACGCGAGTGCATTCGCACGCACGCACGATCCAAAATCGGTATCGGGCCACCTCTCAACCCCTGAAATTACCAACTTAAACAAGAGATAAATATTCAGCACATAACACTTCCTCATAGCATCTTACATTTTCAATTCACAGACAAATTTTCCACCATTTTCATGAACACATTCCTTCGTGGCTTCTGAAATCATTGGGTTAATGCGTTTGAGGGGGGAGAAGTGCGCAATTACCGTGAAGTGGAACGAGGGTGCGCGATGGCCGACCCGACGTGAGGATGCTCGAGTCGTTGGCGTTGCCATCGAGAGCCACGCCACTTTTGTTGCCCTCCCGGAGCCGATTATAGCCAGACTACGAGAGATACTGAAAACGTCCAGGAAACTAAAAACGGATTTCCCTACGACTGATATGACGTAAAACATTCACAACATAAATATAAATAACATAACAGATCATGGACAAATTAAACCAAGAGGAGTAGTGGAAATGTACACAACATAAACCAGTAAAACAAACACTGAAAAGATTTAATCAGCAATCTTGTGACAAAACAGTTGGTAAAGATAATGAGACTCGTGGGTAGCAGGACGCGACATCCCACGAGCGTCTCGACAACGCATGCAGACTCACCGACCGTCACCCTGGGGGCTAGCCTCGACGTCCGTGTCCCTTTGATCTATTACCGGAAGACTAAAATAACCCCGATCGCTTTTGAGAGATATTACATTACGATCGTCTAGACGTTAAAATTGCAATTGTATTACCCGCCACTGGCCGACGAGGAATTTCTTGCCTCGTCGACTCGTCGACGTGCGAGTTCTGTCCCCCAGGGTGAAGACGACTAAGGAGTGCTGTGAATAAAGTTTGCTGAGCGCTACTAAAAGTGTTAGGGTGCTGGAATGTGGTGGCGCCGGAGCGATACCCTCGTGATCCACTTACCATTGCTTGAAATGATGCAGAGGAATAGAACAGAGTCTTTGTAAAAACTACTTGTCTGCCGACAAGTACTGTCACCAAATTTAAACTCCCAAGAATAATCTAATGAATGTGAAGTGAAGAAAACATGCAGTAAACTAGAAAACAAAAGAAAGAAATCTCAATATATAAGACACATTATATTCTCTCATATAATACAAAGTTGATAATTTAAAAGGTTTAGATAATGAACATAAGATCTAGCAAACTGTTAACAAGAATACACAGGACTTGTACTGCGCTCTCGAGGTCCGACAACGTTCGTAACTCATCGCTTATTCTTTATCGTCTGCGCGGTTGGTTCGCGTCGACTCGTGTCGGGTCGACCGAATATTATAATCCGGAAAGAATAACGTCGGTGTGAAATTCCTCTCCGACATTATTGGAAGGGAATAGAAATGCCCCAACAGAGTACGGGAGTTCTCGAACTAGCCACGTGGGTCGCTCGAGAGAGCTCACCGTGGGCTTCGTCGATTATTCGTGATCTTGTACAAACAAAAAACTTGACAGAGCAATTTAAACAATCTTATTCATAATACAAGTCATTGTATTAAGTGTGTTCTATTAATTAATTTATATCATTACTGTCTCTTTAATCTCAATTCACACAGAGACACTGAGAAAATTCCAAGACAAAGCAAATTTACTTTACCTTTAATGGCACTTAAGTTTAAAAGCAAAAACTCGCACTATTCTTTTCATATGAACCAAAATCAAGATGAACAGTGGAGAGCAAGTATGGGTAAAGTAAGGCAATGGCAGGAGGATCAAAAGTGTCCTCGGCGTTCCGCCCGCTGCGAGCCTCACGGCTAGGGGGCTTCTCCTCCGGCGCCACCACTCCACGGGAGGAGGTAAAGGGTAAAATTGTGAGAGGAATGAGGCTGGACTCTCCTACCTCGACTCTGCCGCATTGTAGTAGTCGTGGAGTTGGTTAAAGAGGAGGAAACAGAGGGGAGAAAAATAGAATGATTGAGCTTCAGCAAACACAACAATGCATAATAAGAAAGAGTAGCCCTTTGAGTTTTTTTTTCTGTCACGCCGCCACTACATCACACAAATATACTATTGTTTTTTTTTTAAAGTCCTAATGATTATCACTAACAATGAGGTCATCTTTATACCGTGACACACGCTAAGGTTGAGGACAGCATAATAATCATCAACAACTTGTATTATTTAGTGTAATATCATCACCACCAACATATTTGAGACCTAGAGGCTGTATCAAAATATTTAGTCAAACACATACCTATATGTATGCTCTCAGAGTTGCTGTTAAGGATTACATCTGATTCTACTTGGAAGTTTAAGACCTTAACACCAACTCTTACATCAATTATATGATAAACCACTAACAACAACGTATCAACTACGTGTGTGTATGCTTGTTAGTTTGTGTGTGCGTGTGTGTGTGTGTATTATTATATACATATTATATATTATTACTCATATATACTCATAAATCTGAATGTATTATACAGTACTTGTAGCTGTGGTAAATGTTTGCTGGGAAGATGGTAAACAATTACTGTATTTAAATGGGGCTTGACAACAACCTAAAGTATGCCACAGCAAAGGAGAGAGAGAATGTAAACAACAAATGGCAGTGCAGATTGGCCAAGACAGTTCAGACCACAGGATAGCCCCCAGGAGTTGTTACTGCACCTTATGACAGGGTTAAAATAACACGGGCCATCCTACCATCGCCCGAAACAAAAATGCATCACATAATTCAGGGATAACCACAAGGGCCGACGCGTTCGCCTTTCGCCCAACGACAAACAGTTGGGTGACGAGACGATTGACTTCTCATCTGCCGAGCTCTAAAATTTATAAAATATGACAAGATTGAAAAGTTTTGGTGCATTATGAAGATTTATGGGTACAATCAATAGATTATGTATGAGTAAAAATATATTATATATATATAAATATTTACTTATATTGTTTTACTCATTCTAGCCACACAGTATAATGTTCTGATTCACTGTAGACAACAATTCACCTCACTCAATGACTTAAATCTTATTCTGTGGTGATCCCTGTAATTATTTTATTACTGTACTTGTAAATGAACAAAATCACAACACCAGCTGATCAAAACACAATGTCCTGTATAAATTTCTCTGATTAATCTCACATTTATGACATAAAAAACTTCCTTGAAAAAATAAAATGAAATGTTTTTCTTGTGACTACACTACCAAAAACATTCAGCTGGATGAATAAATAGGAGTCAGCATTTAGAGGTCTGAACTGCACATTCTAGGCATCTTTTCTGACATGCTGATAACACAAAAAAAAATATTTTCACTAATTCTTTTTTCCATCTACACTATCAGTTTAACTTGGTAAAATGATGCACACATTTTCAAAAGCTTAGCTTACATATTTCAAAAGCTAAAAAATTTCACTGGTCATTAGAAATGTGCATTACACATTGTAGTAATTATAATAGCACAACAAAATACTTTTTCTTGGAAACAATTTTTATAAAAAATTCAAGAATTGACCAGTAAATGAAAATTGAAAATGCTCTAGGAAAATTTCCAATCAAAACAATAGACGTGCGGTCGGTTCCGAGTGCCGGGCACGTCCGCACGGTGAAAAAATCCCATTTCCGTGTTCTGTGTATATCTTACAGAATCCAAAAGAAAAATGTTTCGGCATTCACTATAACCTATCAAAATTACTACTCATATCACGAAGAGTTCACACAAATGTACACCAGAAAAAAGTCTTTGGATAACTGCCCCACAAATGAGGCCTTTAGCTCTACTGTACAACCCCAGCTCTGCACCTTGGGGACCACAGGGTCGCGAGTCCACAGGTTCTAACGGTCTCGTCTTCCAGAAAAGACGAAAGATTTTTCACTGTAACACTGGCAATTTCATTTGACATTCCTTCATCGACTCATTAAATCTATCTTTGTGAAGTCGACGTTTATCTCTACGGTAGTCTGTCGACGCGTGAAGCTCGGCAACTGAAATGAACGTTCCGATTTACTCGCAGCAATTTTCCTGTCGTCCCTAACGTTAATTCCCTTGCTATTTGGAGTAAAAAAATAAAATAAATACCGTTTATGGCGACGGAATAATTTTACGGCAAATTTTTTGTTTTGTTCGAAGCTAACAATTGGGCGTTTGTGACGGGATCGACTGCGATTATCGCCCGATGGAAACTGAAAATGGAGTCGTTTCAGCCGTCATTAATCACTTATTCCTACATTATTACTTCTTGTGAGTTTTGGTCCTGACACCATAAAAATTAGACTGATTCCTAGGTGAGTATTGTTAAGCATGGGCGTGTAGTGATGTGGCCTAATGCGTAGTGGCGGCGGTGAGGGCAGAGAGAAGGCAGCAGCAGCAGACAGTAAGCAGAAAGGTACCGTGGGCGGGGGCACTGGTGGAAGGGGCAACGCTACTGTACTGCTCGGACGGCCCCGACCCGCTACCTGGAACTGCCGATGGATCTGTAACACACATAACAACCCCACACTCAGCGACAACAACCCCACACAGAGACATAGAGAGAGGGGGGGGAGGGAGTTACCCAACATAGGCGCTGCCACTCAACAGACATACACACACACACACACACACGCAGCTACGACACAAACTCCATTTTTACATATATACTTACAATTAACTTAAACACAGAACACACATACTTACCAATGAATCAAGTGACTCAAGATATGATGTGTAGTCAAGCAATAGAGTGAACATTACTAAGATTTAGCTGTACTGTATTTAAATTTTAAGAGGCACTTCCATTACTCTCAATCACAAACACCGCAACACTCGCCAACGTACACACTCCTTAGCGCTTCATCCTGTGCATCTGTTACTCAAACTGTCTACAGTACTCCAGCAAAATTCAATTGAACTATTGAGAATAAATTAGCAAAACACTACTCAAAAACTGCCTAGATCAGCAGCAATTAACTGAATTATTTAGAAGAGAACTTTGCAAAACATACATTAGATAAACTTACAGTGATATGACAGAAAATGCTGTAAATCTATTGAAAGCAAAAGACAGAGCAATCACTCACACACCAGTAGATTTAGAAAAAATTTACATATTAAAATTGATTAAATACTGATAGATTCTGCTTGGTGTTGAGTCTTACCAGTACAGTACTTTAACTTGTGCCAGAGGTTCATGGTGATGCATTACTGTAAGCTGTTACCGATGAATCAAACCGAAGTTAAATATATTCAGAAAGTGACTAATGAGAGGGGAGGGGGGCAATCAGCTTAGAATATAAATTGTTGGAATATAATGAAATAATGTAATTTAGTTTATGTCTTAAGTAAATTGAGATAATTAAGTTTACAATGACAAGTACGATGAAATAATTCAATTTATAATTTCTCGCTCGTAATGGGACTCGTCGGTGAACTAGACGCGGCAAAGTACTGATAATGTTGTGCCTGAACGCGTAATGCATTACCTCTTCTTTATTCTGTACTGTAACTGTAGCAATAATAGACCGCGGTAGACCCGTACGTTACCGGAGTGTTGTATTTGCCGAGGAGAAGAGGTAAAGACAGCCAGAAAATGAGGACTTGGGGAAATTATCTTAAAAATTAATCATGCATTCGAACACAAGGCCGACAATGTTAATCACAGGTGCCGGTAAGACGACAACCGGCAGTATCTTACAGTGAGAATACGAGCAATTCTGGGTAGCCATGCACATGTAACACACAGAGCACATTAATCCTGATTGGTAGAGCAAGTGCTTTATGTACAACTTGTAGAGAGAATACAAAATGAAAATGAAAGTTTACTATCTACACAGAAACAGTGACAATACTGTATAGTAAATAGCCGATACAATTTCTTAATACAGATGAAAAAAAACTACATCAAACAGAGAGAAATTATATGACATAAGCTAGAAAACTGCATAAAAAAAGACTGTCATTAGCATATGTAAATCATTTAGGATTTAGAAGATATATATACTCCTCAAGTACTTTTAATCATCTATTTCTGCTTCCTCTTGAAACTAAACATTGAAGGAAATAATCAACTTCAAACCTGGGCATTCTATTATGGAAGAGTTATTGAACACTCAAATGTAAACACTTGTGGATACCTTACTTTATCCCGCGTGCGTTAAGGTGGCTGGGCAGACGGGGTACTGTGCCGTTCTACGAGGGGGCCAAGCTATACGATGACTAAACTGGCTCCGGTTATACACGAACTGAACTGAAGTACGAGTGGGTCTGGGCCATAGCCTAAATATATACTCAAAATACTGTTGTAACGATGAGGAATATATATTAAAATCCGATACCCTACAAGTGCATTCTGTGCCTATATATACGTACATTATACATATTTTTCTTGTGAATAATCTAAAGTACGTTTTATAATAATTCAAACCAGATTCATTACCTACAATTAACTACTCTACTGTGGTTATCATCTCAATTCCTTATTTAATTCAAAACAATAACTTCAGTAACATCCTTAACTCAGTTTTTGTCAAGATAAATGATACTTAAACTTCTGCAGTAATTAAAATTCTTGAACGTATACAGCCAAGACATCAATACACACTAATTCGTAGATGTGAGAAACCGATTGGCCGTTTCCCAAGGTTTAACGGGGGATTATGGGTCAAATGAACACCGCTTAGTAAAATAATGAGACTAATTATGGCATATATTAACTTTCTAATAGACTATAACCAAGTACTTAATCAAAAATTTATTTACAAGAATTCCTTTTCAAATTTATCTACAATTTTTACTTGTACACTCGAGGTCAATAGTTCGCTCTCTGCCAAACTGAAACGGCATTGGCCCCAGAAGAAATAAAACGGACGACAGTCGGGGTAAGTGAGTAAGTTCGGAGATTCATTCCTGTGATTCGGTTTTACTGCAGGGAGCAAGGCTTTGGTCAATGACTTTACATACAGGGAATACGTACTTGCTTTGGGTGTAAAAATATCGACTGTATACTCATCGTGAACCAACACGTGAAAAACTATCCCTACGCCTAAATAATCCTACTCTGTGCATAAGGATTACGATGAACATACCGTGAGCAGTCTTGATAACTGCTTCAGCTGGGATTGAGAAGCCGATTTCGTTGTGGGCGCGCAGTTCGATCCTGTAGTGGGTGTTGCTGCGCAGGCCGTCGATATTGTAAGTCGTCGAGCCGGGATATTCGACCACCTCGGTTGTCTTGGTCCCGGTGCTTTCCCAAGTTCCCGACACGTTGTGGACCTGTGAGTTCGGGACATTAAGATATCTCCAGAATCTCCTCGACTACAGTTTAAAATATCATATCCGACTGAAGACTTACAAATTCTTTTAAGAGGTTATGGGTTGTAGTAGACCCTACGGATGGTGCTTCATAGCCCTCGTAGTTGCACCACCTCAAACTAAGACCTAGTAAATGGTTCTTAATAAACCCCCTAAATTAATACTATACCCTAACCTAACCTTACCTTGAAGACATGCACCCTCTTATCCTGGCTTACGATACAGCATATACTGCAGTACTGTTTAAACTACACAATACTAAACGATACTCTTTTAATTTAACCTCGAGAGTATTTAAAGCACCACTCGAGCACTTACCTGGTAGTAGATGATCTGGAAGTAGTCAATCTTTTCACCATTATCAAGAGGAACTTGCCACTGTAGCATGTACTGATCAGGGTATGGCAATTCATTCACGGCTTTGTCTAGGTTGAAGATCAGAGGCTCCTCCGGCTGTGCTCGCCTGGGCATTTCTTCGGTCTGCAAAAGATATATGTAGTTTTAAAATGGCCAAAAAATGTGTGTGTTGGCTTCAGTACACCCTAACTTACTCTCAGGCTGGCATAATGCTATCAAACGCATCATTCCTGTTGCTTTTAACTGCTCCAAAATGTAGTTTCACAGACTTAGTTCACTAGTTATCAGGAATTAATGATCTGATGGCATTGATGGCTTCCCTTGGTCAAATTACCCTTTTCTTACTACCGTTTGTATATCTTCTTTATCTACATTATTTATACATCTGCAGTATGTGCAATAAACCTTAACTATGTACATTATTTATATACAGTACCTACACTCTGTATGTTTACTGTGTTCCAGCACAACTCAATATAAACTTGTATGATAATTTTACTTCCTGCTTAAACAGATTACAAGGGGTGTCTGCCGAGCCTAACACACTCCGAGAAGCATCGACTATATCCCGGGATGACTACGCTCGATATCGCTCGGGATAAAATCTTGGTGAACCGTAGTCAAACTTACCTTCTCACCACTCCACTGACCTCTTCCGGCCTCGCTACGGGCGGCAAAGCGGAACACGTACGTCTCCTGGGGCTTGAGTCCATCCAGGGTGTAAGTGGAACCTAAGAGTTAAAGTGTACAGAATAAAGCTTCCATTTACAGGTTAATTTATCATAAATGTCACCTGTAACAAAAGCTATAGTTTCAATGTATTTCTTTTATGAGTTTATCCTAACCTGACCATAGAGATAAAGAATTATTAGTAACCTTTACCTATCTTATCTAACAAAACCATACATAACCTTTACTATTTTTTATAAGATGTATTCTGTGATGGTTTTCCTCCTCTTCCACAACAAAGTATGTATGTATGTATGCACTGTATGTATGTATGTATGCACTGTATGTATGTATGTATGCACTGTATGTATGTATGTAACTATCTATCAACTCAACCAATCACCAGATATATTATAATTTCTCAAGCCCAAAATACAAAAAAAAAAATTGCACTAGATGTAAACCTTTAGTCCAGAAGCGTTCCTCGGACTCGTCCCAAGTCTCGCCCTGCAGACGGTACTGCACGAGGTATCCCTGAATGGGCAGTCCACCGTTATCCATGGGGCCTATGATATCCCAAGTGATGGTAGTTGCAGTTATCTTCTCGATCTGTGAAAGCCACCATCGTTCTCATTAGCTCGTCTGCTTAAAATTACAATCTTAGGCATGTGTATATGAGTTGGTCTGGGTGAGAAGGAAGGAAGAGTTGTATGAAGCATAATATTCATGAAAATATTACCAGCATGTATGAAAAAGTTATTCATCAAAAAATTACCAAAATGTATATAAATGTATCCACAAAAAATAAAAATATACACGAAAAGACCGTCAACTTTTTGGTTGCACTATTGAGGGGTATCAGAAATTATTTTAGACACGAGAAAAATTATCGTCGTCCGGTGTTAAAGTTACGATAAGACGCGTTACGTCGCCGGTCGTTTACCTTGGCGCTGGTAACCGTTCCTGGGGCATGGGCTTCCCTGAGTTCCAGATCCTGTTTTTCCGTTCCGAGCGTGTTGGTGGCCTGGCAGGTGTAAGTTCCAAAGTAGCTCTGGCTGACGGGGTTAACTTTGAGGACGCCAACGGGACCATGGCTTAGCAGTTGTAGATTTTGGTCGTTTGCGTCGACTTCTTGGTTACGAAGGTACCACTGAACTGTAGGATAGAAGGAGAAAAAAAAACTGGTTATTTTTCCATTCTTGTTAGTCCTTTTGTATAGTACTGTATCGAGTAGCCCATGTCCTGAAGGGTCAGCTGAAGACTACAACTTCCAGCTTATTTAACCTTAAGATTAAACCGCCTTAACACTAATCTTATCTAATTTAACCTAACCTAACTCACCCCAAGCAGTGTACAGGTGTTAAATTAGCTTCAGGTCATATCACATATTTATTACAAAATCAAAGTATTGTTTATGAAGAACAACACCCCAACTTATTCCACCTTAACATTAATTACCTTTAACACTAACCAAACCAAACCTAACCTAACCTAACCCCCAAGATGTTTTATTATTGGGTGAAATAAGCTTAACGGACTAATCTCTGGGTCGTCCAACACTCTCTATAAAAATCTCACTAGTTGCGTTGGGGATGGAGGTAACGAGGCAGGTGAGGTTGACGGGCTGTTGTTGCCATGACCACAGTTCATCGTAAGGTTGTTCCTCAAATGAAGGAGGGAACTCCACTGTGATGTGTCCCCAGGCCTGTGTCTCGCCACCTTCGGATTCGGCCGTGCAGGTGTAGAGGCCGTCGTCTTGGCGCATGACACCTCGGATCTTCATTCTAGGTGATGGATGTAAAACAATAGAATTACCTATGGTGGATGCAGAGAGAATAAAGAAGGGAAGCAGAACAAACAATGATGATTTTACTCAATATCTAACTATTTAAAAAACAAAAAATCTAATGACCAACAAACAGGTAATATATATGTCTCACACTGTTAAGAAACTTCAACCTCCAGTTACCTAAAAAAACAAACCAATCGCATTGTGCAAGTGTTCCGTAATGTGCCGTACCAGGTAGCATTACTTTACTGTTTCTTAACCACTGGTGTACAGGGTTACCTCTGTTAAATAAATCATCTTCCATCGGTCAAATATTAAAAGTGGCATCCTAGTATTGAAGTAGACAAAACATAAACCTATACTACGAGTTATTGAAAGATCTGGCTTCTCGACTCCTGGACGTGAATGAGTTTATTGTTCCAGGTAGATAATTGGACAAAATACTGTACCGTAATGCTTAATACTTACACCCCCATTGGTCGTCCCTGGTCGTCAATCTCCTGCGACACCTCAATTCTGTCGTCTTGGTTTATTCCGTTTAGGAAGGGATGCTCGTTTGTTTCCTTCTTGAACACCAGTTCTGGGGCTGGGTCACCTGTAGCGATGCACCTCAACTCTAAATCTTTATTAACCGATTGGGTAACGTTGATCAACTGTTCGATCTTGGGTTTGGTCAGAACCTGCAAGTTGGCCGATGCGACGGCGTCTCCCGCCGGGTTCGTTGCCGTGCACCGATAGGTGCCGGAATGTTCGGGTCGGAGATTCATTATTCTCAGGATGCCTTTCTCGTTGTCGACAAAGTAATCGGCGTTACTTTCGAGGGGTTCGTTATCATTGTTAACCCAGGCGTATGATGGGTTAGGCTTGCCAGTGGCTTTACAGTTGAAGGTGACAGAGTCTCTCTCGACACCCTTGGCATCTTCTGGGGGCGTGTCAATGACTGGGGGAATGTACACTTCCACCTGAATGTCTCTGTGTTCGATGGACCCCAACGCAGGCACGCGAGCGCGACACCGATACGTGCCTTCGTCTTCCTCCGTTACTTTTTTTATCAATACGCCATCTTGCTGGATGATGTGGTTGTCATCTGGAAGAGGAAATAACTTTAGACAAATCTCTACACATACAGTACAATGTAATTAACATATTCTCTCTCCACAATTCAAATGATAAAGAATAATTAATACTGTAGTGACATTACCATATACAACACTGATGAATAAGGTTAAAACATCAATGAAATAAGATGCAACGAACACGAGATTCTGGCACCGGATTGTAAAATTATAGAAAGAATGAAAAAAAAAAGGGAGCAAGCACAACACACAATTAGATAATACAAATAAGACTCGTAAGTAAACCTCGTCAACCGTACAGAAAAGGTAAATGAATCCGAGTTAGAGAATTGTATTGTACAATAAGGTCAGCACAACATAATATGAAGTAGAGCAATAATGTGTAGATTAAAGAATTGGTGACGTGTTAATGTTGCTCTTTAACTACCGTACTACTGAGGTCTTCAAGTACACAATATGAGATCAATTACAGTACAACTACTATCAGTAATAGTACTACAATATTACTACAAATACTACTGTACTGTACTATACTGTATTAACACAACAAAATAACAATGAATACTATTATTGTACCACAACAACAAAAATAATAATTACTACTATACTATTACAGTACTGTACTGTATTTATAAAACCAAAACCTTATACAGTACTGTAGTTCACACAATTCAACATGGCCATTTCTTAAACAACTTGAGCACAGCCACGACAGAACTTGTACAGTTGAACGTACCATTACTGAGGCGTACAAGGTCCTTCAGCCAATCAACAAGGGGCGATGGCTTGGCACTTGGAGAACAGCGAATCTTGGCCTCCGTTCCAATGTGGGGCGTCTGATGGGTGGGGGTGTCTCCAAAATCGATGTCCACTGTTGGCAAAATAGGAAAAATTAAACTGTGAATATATCTTTGTCTTATCCACAGAGCTTTATGTGTAATACTTTACTTTATCCTCTTCGCCACCGATTGGTTTGTTAGCCACTTGGGTAGTCGGTCAGGTCTTTTACACACTGTTGGCGAGTACTGGACATGAACAGTGTTGCTCATAATGATTAGTTAACATTTTGACAAAGGTGTAAGAGCCTAAATGTTTATCTAAATATCGTTGGCACTTACTGAATGACTCGACGGCCAAGCTAGCAGAGAGCTTCTGGTTGCCGGCGTAGGTGGCGGTGCAGTTGTATATCCCGGTGTCTTGTTCTTCGAGCTTGTTGATGAGCAGGTCGAGCTTACCAGGAGCTTCTAATCCCTCAAGGGTGATTATCCTGGTGGAACAGACAAGCTGGGTTGACACCGAGACTCATAAACAAGAACACAAATAAATGTATATACAAGAAGCAAAATATTGTAAGGTGGCAAGAGTTTGGCTCAAAAAATTGTCAAAGTTTTCAAGTTAAAAAATCTACAAGTATGGGTCAAACATTTTCTCTAATCATTTACATAATTATTTTTTCTCAATTATTTAAGAACTTTTTATTTCAAGATCTATTCCTACTACATCATATATAATATACTACATTGTAGCTAAACTGTATACTGTATATATATTTATTCAGTATAGATGTAATAGTGTATAATTCTAAATGATCAAATGAATGTTAATATTTGAACAGTATAGTTTTCAAGGAATAAATTACACTGTGTTGAGTTGGCTGTTCAAATATGTAAATACAAAAATTAATTCTGCTTGTGTTGAAAGCCTAATAATGTATACTGTACCTCCATAAAATAGAAGCATAGAGACTAATAAAAAATCACTGGAATATTGAAAAAGAGAAAAGGTGATGAACTCTTAATTTCTTTTGGCAAATACGCAAACTTGCTGAAGAAAAAAATACAGAGTTAATAAAAATTGTATTGCAAAAAGGATACAAATAAGTCTACAGTAATTGTTTTTTGTTTGTTTTTATATACTGTATATAGAGAATAATGTGATGATAAAATGCAGGTGAACACTATAATCACCTGTAATCGCTGAGCTATTCCCAAAATTGCTTCGTTAAGAACCAATTTTAAGCCAATGAAGCTGATTATTTGCTGGTTGTTTAAGTGAGAACCAAAACCACAGACAAGTATCCATATGGCCATTTTTCTTCTTCACTTTTGTACTAAATATCTAACTCGCTATAATTGTCATTCCTGATTAGTGGAAAGGGGCGGGAAAATATGGCTCGAGAGTTAATGCTGTAAAGACTAAAGTAATGGTTGCCTTCTAAATTGGAAATAAATCCTAAAATAAAATTATGGTAGACAACAGGGGATCTTAAACTAGTGAAAAACATTGTTTATTTGTGAAGAAACATTAGCTGTGATGGTTGATATTTGGAAGAAATCTTTAACTAAAATAGGGTAAGCAAAAGCAGCATTTAATAATCTAAAAGACCTAATGAAATGACGTTAACTTCAATTGGGTAGAAAAAAAAGGTCTGGTGAAAGATTTTATATGGCCAGGACTGATGTACGGGTCAGAAGCGTGGACCACTTTCAGCAGACACCAGAAAGATGTTGGGAGCCTTTGATATGTGGTGTTACAGGCAAATATTAAGAATAAGCTACACTGACAGGAAAACAAATGAAGAAGTATTAATATTAGCAAAAACTTTAAGAGATAAACTTGAAATGTATAGAAAAAGAAAAATTAGATACGTTGGTCATATATTTAAGGACGAGGGGATAACAGATATATTAATGGGCAAAGTTGAGGGTCCCCCAGTGAGATACAAAACCATGGCGGATTGATAATGACAACCCGAGAATGTTTAAGAAAGGAGTACCGGGGTTGCCAAAACTCGGATATGAGGTTGGTACTCCGATTGACTGATTTCCATTCAATTATTGATTTGGTTAAGTACATACGGTGTCTGTATTCAAATTAATCTACCAATTACCCAACCGATCAACCGATCAATCAGACGTTAAATTCGCGGTTCTTCTCGGTCCGTCGCTGCGTTGCCGAGAGTCACTTAACAGCCAGCAATCAATCGAGAAATTGTAACAGTCGCTTAGAACGCCATGATGTACGTGAGGCGGCTCCCTAACTGTGTCACTGGCTGAGAAATTATTGTCATGTGTCTCAGTGACAGAACATTAAGGCATTATATTGAGATTGAAATTCAGAGAAGAAAAATCCTCTAGCAAACTCAAGCAAGAGATTCTTATATATTAGTCTGTGTTATCATTCCATTGTTGAAATACATTAGAGGTAGATTGGTAAAATTGTCTCCAAAATTAGAAAGCCAACGTGCACACACACACATCCACAGGTTTAGCTTCAGTGAGGAGGTAAAGTTTAATCTATTTTTTTCCATCTATATCCAATATAAACATTTATTATTTTTATGAGGAAATTTGTCTTTTGTTGTCTTAATCCAGTGACTAGGAAGACTGAGTAGTGCTGTACTAAGTCATCGTTCATTACCTATCTGCAGTGTTTCTGAGCCTGTGAAACTTTATTAAATATTATGTAGTACAAATTATTGAAATCTTTTACAACTACAGAACACAATTATATTTTGTTTCTAATCTAATATTGTATTGTAATTTAACCAAGTCTTACCAGCACTAAATACTCTCTTTCTAATATTTTGATGACAATCCCATTACAAATTATTCATGCTAGAATGTGATAAAAGCTAATGATGAAGTAATGCATATTTAGCTTAACTGGTTAGCCATGGAGACAGGTGGCAGCACCACAACCCTCGGATGGTTCAACGCCGTCAGTGATGGTGACACGCACCAGTACTGACGGTGAGACTACCATAGTGAGCTGTTAACATGACAAACACTCCGCCATCCTAACACCATGACTCACTGTAACTACCATGAATTGCCATTTGTTGCCTGTATGGTGACACTTCAACTATACACCAACCAGACTGCCCATGCAAATCTCAACTAACTGTTAGGGTCTAAACATGTTAGTCTCAGGTCCTAGCAGCACCACAGTAAGGGATCTGGCCAGGCTCTGTCTCTACACTGTGGGGTGGTAAGTTCACGGTACACCTAGATGCTGACGCCCACCTAACAGTCATGCAACAAAGGCATGCAAACGTACTATCATTTCGCCGATTTGGAACTTTGAGTATCATAGGCCAAAATTCTGAACAGGAATAACAGCATGCCAATTCATGGCAAAACTGATGCATTACACTGGCATTCCATACATAAATAATTAATGATAAACCTATGGCACATAATCCACTAGGGTGCATTACTCCTCAAACCTGCTCTATGCATCAGAATTTGGACCCAAATTTGGGTATTTTTTTAACTGCACTGTGTTTAAGATGAAATTGATAGCACAAGTAAACTGGTCAGTAAAATAATGAGCAGCCAGCAAGGCCCAGCATGTACGGTACATGTTCCGCAACAGAGGCAAGATGTCCGGTCAGCGTACTCCAGAGACCCAGAACCTTGGTGGGAGAAGTGTCTTGTGTTGCCTCTACATCACAGTAACTGATACTCATCACTTGTCTCCTCCTCGTGAGTGACAGTTTCTACTTGGTGGCAAAACCATATAATAAAAATAAATAAATACATATAATTATAAAATATGACTTGAGTCTTATGCTTACTGGTACAGTACACACAGGTTGTATGTTTGTGTGTGTGTGTAACATGCAAGCATATGCACATACACTCAACAAGCACTGAAATAACCACAATCACACTTATTGTTCACTCATATAAAACAGCAAGCATACTGACTGACTGACTGACTGACTGACAGACAGACAGACAGACAGACAGTCCATTCATATAAAAGACCAAACCTGTTGACACACACACACACACACACACACACACACACATATGTACAGGAGACCAAACATATCAACACACACACAACCAAACTTCACTGCTTATCTAAACCAAACCCAGAATAGGACAGACAAGTGGGCTTTCTCTCCCAGCCCTCAATATATAACTGATAATGATGAATGGAACGTAACAAAGGTCAGAAATATAGTACATGACCTGGATATTGGGTTTCTCGAGGTTGAACAGCCAATATGGGTACTTATTAGGGTATATTAATTTGAATATTGGCCTTCCCCTCCTCACTTTATACCACCCTAATGCTTACCTAATCTACCCTAATGTAACTTATTACTGTACTGTATTTACCATAACCCTATCTACCCTAAGCTAATCTAACACAAACCTAACCTAACCTACTATAATTATCAGGTGAAATGAGCTGCCTCACTTTTAAAACATATTTTCTCTTATTAATGAACTCAAGATTGTCCAAAGTTTGAGTTTTATGTAGTGGTGATAACTATATTACCTCCATATATATTAGTTAAGTTATTTGATGTAGCACTAACTGTAAACTAGAAGACATGATGTGTGGTATATGAAAACACCTATGAGATAAAGCTATTGTATGAGGGAGGAAGTGGCTGATGGAATGAACTGTGGGGCTGAGAGATGACAGAATATCAGGTTACACAAGTCACTTCCACCTACCACCACCCTTAACTTGTCTACGCTAATTCGACATATTGTGCACCTACTGCTATTGTCAATAACCCTCAATTACCATACTGTATTCCAATGACTTTAGGTGATTACAAGTCGAATATGTGAATTAAACAGATTGAGTTTTGACCACACTTTAACCTAACCCTCTCACCAGAACCTAACCATACTCTGTAGACTTTACATTCTAAGTCAAATAAACTGAGCATTAAAGTATTTTATGTACGTTTTAGTTATAGTTACGGATCACCTGAAGAATCTCCACAACCCCAGCTTATTTCACCTAAAGGTCAACCACCCTAATGCTATTTGCTTAGGTTAGGTTAGGTAAGCGATAAGGTTGGTTAATCTTTAGGTGAAATAAGCTGGGGTGGATGTTCTTCAAGTGATCCTTACCTGGAGGAGGATAAATGGGGAAATGTCATTATATTTGGGCCTTTTAGAACAGCCATGGGAATACTGGAGTCAGAACGCTGTAATTCTTCCACCAATTAGTAAGCAATACAGTATATTTAGGGTATGATTTTACTTAATTAGACTTCTATAATGATCCTAATTATCTAACCGCTAAAATAAAATTAAAATAATTAGGACAACACTTTTTTCGATGCTTATTTCTATAAAGGCCATAGAACAACACCCAAATGTGGAAGTTTGAGACAAGGAAAAAATATATGAACTGTTCTTCAAGCACAATAAAATGTGTTCTACCGATAATGTTCTCGAGGTTATTAAGTTTTAAAATGGGTCGGATATTTATTTTGTCTCTGGGTCGATGCATACTGTCACAAATAGTCGGCTACCACATAAAACACCATCTTTAAAAGTGCCATTAATGTGTGGGTGTGTTTGGTGTGTTTGTTGGTGCTAAGGTGAAACATCTATACTACGTAACCAAAAACACCGCTTAATTTGTAGCCTCAAGACTTTACTTTTTTTTTTACTTTTATTATTTTTACATAATTAAACCAACAACATATTTATTTTACTGCTAAATTCCTTCATCTATGTATACAGTGACGGTGTGTAATGTGGTGTTACTGCTTCTGGTGCTAAAGGTTCCATTAAGGACAAGCTAAGTGAGGTATTATACTGGGTAATGTGTGGGAGGCCATGGCTAAGGGAGGGGTAGGAGGAACAACTGGGCACCTCACTCTCTCTCAAAACTTTTGCTACAACATGCTCTACCACGGCTCAATCCTCCCTCCCCTCACATCTTCACTACACTACCTTCACCTCTCACTTACACCGAGGAATATTTTTAAGTGTATGTGTTATGTGTGTGGCAAGACCATCATTTGTCGACTTATAATACACGGGCAGGTATTAAATACGGGATGCTTAATAAAATGCGAGATTATGTTTCTATATACGGTCAAGTGTCCGCTTAACCTACACGATGCGTTCAGTCAAACCCGGAACGTTAAGCGAACACCCACTGTATACCTCAAACACCAAGTACAGCGGGACATTTTGGGATGCAGGTCCGGCTAAAAAAATAGGTTACATTTGCATTCTCGTTCACTAAGACTGGCTAGGGTTCTCTCTCTCTCCGCTACACCCTCGACTTAAAGCACTCGTTGCCAAGCAGGGGGGGAGGGTTAAGTGATATCACAACCCCTCCTCCCAGGCTGGTGTAATTTGGGGGGGGAAGGGGGTGATGGGTTTATAGCAGGGGTATTAAGTGAGGAGGGGGTAAGGCAGGGGGCTACAGAATAAGGAGGGGTGGGTTGGGAGGGGGAGGTGGAAGGGTGTTGCAGCAGGGATGATGGGCGGGAAGGGAGGAGGGGGAGAGGGGGTGACAGCCATAACCTCCTTACAAGACAGGAGGGGGAGGAGGAGTCAGTTGATAGTCGAGCTTGTAACAGTTTAGCATCACCTGAGGGGGGAGGAGTTACAGTAGATGGGGGGAGAGGGGGGCGGGTGGGAAGGTGGGTGGAGAGGTAACCCGCCAGAGCAGCGCACCACCCACAGCCTACCTGCGAGGCCTGTCGCCGCGGAAATAAAGGGGAAAAAAACAGGAAAAAGCAAAAGATCAAGTCACACGGTTTGAAGAGGAGGTGTAGATTAGAATCCAAACACCCCAATGACAATAAGTGGCATTATAGCCTGTGTTTGAATCAATTAAAAGAGTATATAAGACATTAGAGAATAATTAATAAAAATAAAGCTGAAGTATTATTATTATTGTTATTAATTTTAGTTAATAATATAGTAAAGAAATAATTCATGATGTGTACAATAAAATATCAATCAGTATACATGATGTACCACCAGACCATTTGTTGTGGTTACCTACCTACCACAATCCTGGCCCCTACCACTAGCTAGCTAACACCATCCTGGCCCCTACCACTAGCTAGCTAACACCATCCTGGCCCCTACCACTAGCTAGCTACCACCATCCTGGCCCCTAACACTAGCTAGCTACCACCATCCTGGCCCTACCACTAGCTAGCTACCACCATCCTGGCCCCTACCACTAGCTAGCTAACACCATCCTGGCTCCCTACCACTAGCTAGCTACCATCCTGGCCCCTACCACTAGCTAGCTACCACCATCCTGGCCCCACCATACCACTAGCTAGCTACCACCATCCTGGCCCCTACCACTAGCTAGCTAACACCATCCTGGCTCCCTACCATTAGCTAGCTACCACTATCCTGGCCGCTACCACTATCCTGGCCCCTACCACTAGCTAGGTACCACAATCCTGGCTCCCTACCATTAGCTAGCTACCACTATCCTGGCCCCTATCACTAGCTAGCTACCACCATCCTGGCTCCTACTAGCTCACTAACCACCCTCCCTCCATGCTACCCCCTCCCTCCTCCTATCTCTCCCGTCTCTCCACTGATAATTTCCTTCCGCCTCTCTCTCATTATTCCACTTGTGTCTGTCTCTTATGTTCTGTCTGTCTGTCCCTGTCTACTTGTGATTGTCATTCTTCGTTTCACTCTCTCTCCTCACACCCTCCCTCTCTCCTCCTCCAGCACTCCCTCTCTTCTCCTCCAGCACTCCCTCTCTTCTCCTCCAGCACTCCCTCTCTTCTCCACCCCCTCACTCCACTCCCGGGTGAGCTTAGTCCCCATCCACCACATAATCCAACGCCTACAATGTAACCCTGATCTTACAGTCAACAATGTCATAAACCGACCTTGACCTAGTCTCTGCTGCCGCCACCACACTCTAACCACCATACTGCATCACACTCCATTACATTGCATCACACTATACCACACTGCATCACACTCCACCATACTGCATCACATTCCACCACACTGCATCACACTCCACCATACTGCATCACACTCCACCACACTGCATCACACTCTACCACACTGCATCACATTCCACCATACTGCATCACATTCCACCACACTGCATCACACTCCACCACACACACACTGTACTAAAGTCTACCACGCTCCTTCCTCTATCACCACAACCCACTGTACCACCATACCACATGACCACACATCACCACTACTACCACACACGTCACCGTAACACAATGCCAGCACCACACACCGTCTTGGCATTGGTGTAAGGGAGGGACACACACACACACACACACACACGGGGTAGGGGGGGCTGAGTGTGTGCACCTTATCATGACCATCTACCCGAAGCTGGTCCTCTTGCCTACCCTGACAAGACTGACTCTCTCTCTCTCCACCTTAAAAAACCCCCATCCCCCTTATTCCTTTTCATCCTTCCTAACACCCCCTCCCTAATCCTCCCCATCCCTCCTCATCCTTCCTAACACCTCTCTACTCCTCCCCATACCTCCAAACACCCCATCCCTTCCCCCCCACTAACATATAAGAAGACTTTAAATGGGAAAAGTAAAATACGACCGTCGTATCTGACTTACGTCCCGTCACTGTTGGGGATGTCCCTTCCATTGGGACCTGACCATTTCATCTCTGTCACTAGTTCAGAATCGTCGACGTTAGCGGTGCAGGAGACGTAGACCGCCTGCCCCCGCGCCTTCAGTATACTGGAGGGTAAGAGGTCCAAGGTTGGTTCCTGCGCCACGCTCACTGTAAAGCAAAAGAGAGTTGAGGTGCGGTCAGTTAAATCATGATCTGTGTGTGTGTGTGTGTGTAGTAAAGTAATGTTGATATGGTAACAATAACAACAAGAATGGCTTAAACAATGTGAATAATGAAACCAACAATAACAATAACCCCCTAGAGCTGATGCCAACGAGTATTTTTTTTTTTTCATACGGGTTCATGGGATAGGGCCACAGTATAGGGCCACGCTACGGGGTCACGAAATAGGGACACATTACGCGGTCATGGGATAGGGCCACACTACGAGATCACAAAATGGGCCACACTAGGGGATCATGGCATGGGGCCACATTACGGGGTCACGAGATGGGCCACACTACGGGTTCATGGGATAGGGCCACAGTACAGGGTCACTAGATGGGTCACACTACGGGATAGGGCCACACTACAGGTTCGGGCCACATTACAGGTTCATGGGATAGGCCCACACTACATCGTCGACTTACACGCGATGATAATGGCCACGTGAACGAAGAAGGCCATGGTGGGCGGATATGTGGACGAGATGGGGGGTGTGTGGCCACCTCAGACACCCTTATCTTGGCCATCAGCTGTGTCTTGTGGCCCCGCCTACCCAACCCTCACTCCGACAAGCAAATCCAGGAACCACTCCAGAGGGAAATACAACTTTACCGATATTATTTCTTTTAGTTTCAAATTACAGCAAAATGAAAAATAATCCTGTATTTTGTATTGCTTTTCAGGGATAAAATACAGTCCTGGAATACATAAATGACTGTATTGCTGTATTTTTCTTTGGTAATTATATAATGTTTTAGTGCATGGTAAATACACCTTAGGACTTACACGCCATTAAACTCATAACTTCAACAAGATGAGTCATGATGAATCTTGTTTACGTGTGTTTTTCAAGACGTAAACATTGGTTATTGTTATAAGTCACTAACACCAGTTTTAAGTCACCTGTTGAGGCCTAATACACAACAGGTACACGTCACGTAGTTTGTAACATCTACGTGGGTGTGTGGGCACGTGGGTGGTGGGCACGGGTATGTGGACGAGTCACTCCGCCTCGGATGAGAGACCTCCCGAGACTGGCATCACCTATCTGTAACCTACCTCACCCCTCCCAACCCCTACCCTTCTTCAGATCCTCCGGCACCCCTACCCTCCCCCAGGTCCTCTCCCCACCCTTATTCTCCCCCCTCCACCATTGATATAATAAAACACCTGGACTCGGGAACCAAAAAGAATATAGTCTAGTGCATCGCCACGTTTTGTGATTGGTCAGCTGCACGTGCTTCAGGTTGACTGGTGGGCGGGGCTAACAAGTGCCTCTTGGCGTTCCGGTTGCCCGCCATCTACTGATAAGAACACCGATGACCCCTCCCCCTCCCCACCACACCTACCCCTCCCTCATAATTCAGGTCCCAGCAAAGAGTTAAGTAAAATAACAAACAAAGAAATTACTTGTTGCCACATGTCAACATCACAGTGGGAATATAAGAACCCCACCACCACAATCCCTCCAGCCCCCCCACCCCAGCCCTTCTCCTTCCAGCCCCTCCTCCTTGAAACCCTGGGTCAACATCGCACCTTCTGCTGCTCCTGAAGGTAGAGGACACCACGTCTTCCTCCTGCTGGCGACAGAGGTCAAGGTCGTGAGGTGAGGTGATGCTGGGTTACGTCCGACCCCCCCCCCCCTCACCCTACCTCCTCAGGGGCTATAGATCGGCCAAGACAAAAGTGTGTGTGTGGGGGAGGGGGAAAGGGAGGAATCTGTCGCGTCCAGCACATCCTGAAGCCTGTTGTCACGTCTTATAAATACTACCACAACTACTACCACAACTACAACCACAACTACTACCACAACTACTACCACAACTACTACTACCACAACTACTACTACACATCCTTAACCACACGGTGACAGGTTAATTAAGGTAAACATTATAAAGTTAACACATTACTAAGTTAACATCTCCGGCCAGGTAACTAACTACATGTGTTAGGGAGACGTGAACGCCACAATTAAGTGCCATAGTGCCATAATTAAGTGCCATGGTGCCATAACTGTCAGCGAGAGGGGGAAGGAAAGGAAGAGAAAATGTAGAAGGAGTTAGGAGAAAGAAGGAAGATGTTATAAAAAGGGGATAAAGAGGAGGAAAAGGGGGAAACAAAAGCCTAGGCCTACAGAGGGGATGCCTACGTAATCACCCTTATAACGAGGGGAAATAATCCATAGCGGTATTTTTCTCTTCCGTTATCTTTGCTGACAGTTCTGGGAGCAGCTCACAGGCCCTAGGAGATCACTAAATATCTCACTTTCTCTCTCTCTCTTTCTCTCATTTTCTCTCTCTACCTTATCTATCTATCTACCTATCTATCAATGTAGCTTGATAGATAATTACCATAATAACCTTTACTATTTATGAGAGGAATTCACCATGTGCTTGGTGTGTGTTTCATGGGGAAGGGGGAGGGTATGATGAGAGGGGGACACGTGTTTTAGCTCAAGTGGGAAGGGGAGGGGGGGGTAAAGGGGAGGGGTTTAGCGCAGGGAGCTCTTCAGGTGCTTGACGGCTCTCACGGAGCCTCCTTCAGTATCCACGTCGACCCCACACAATATATCTGATTGTGACCCACACCCTACGAGACACCCCACCCCACTCCGCCCATTCCCAGACACTCTCCCCTAACTTCCACCACACCAACCCCCCTCTCTCTCTCTCTCTCTCTCTCCTCTCTCTCTCTCTCTTTCTCTCTCTCCTTTAAACATAGCGTCAAAAATACCCAAAAGACTTGACTGACGACCGAATACAATCCCGCCTACATTCTCCTTCCTTTCTTCCTTCTTCCTTCCTTCCTTCCTTCCCCATCTTCAGTTAAAGAAGAATATAAAGGAGAGAAAGGTTAGAGAAGGGATCAAGGGAAGGAGGAGGTAAGAAAGAAAAAGAAAGAGGAAAGGAAGATGAGAGAAATAAGAAGAAAAAGGAAGGAGGGAGGAAGAAGAAAGGAAGAGAAGACAGCCAGGTGGGACGGAAGAAGTACTCAAGTTACCATGAGAGCGTGACCTACACACACACACACACACACACACACACACACACACACACACACACACACACACACACACACACACACACACACACACACACACACACAGCACAGGTAATACAAACAATATACATAGAATAAGTAGACAGACAATGTATATAGACCAATATTGGACAACAAAGCCAAGCCAACACTTCCTTAGCAATCGTCAGGGGCGGAGAGAGGCCGCAAGAGCGCTAAATAATGGAACACTGAAGCCACGAGTGTTTGTATAATCCTCTTCAGTTCACAAAAGGCGTCCTGGGGAGCCTCGGATCGGGCTCCGTTTTCTATGATACACTACCATCACCAACCAGAGAAAACGGAGGTCATTTTATCCCCAACTAAACTATATTGACAAGAGAGAACGGAGGTCATTTTATCCCCAACTAAACTATATTGACCAGAGAAAACGGACCATGTCAACCCTAACTAAACTAATATGAAAACCAACTTTACTACCGAGCTGTACAAACAAAACAATATATAATAATTATTCAGTAAGATCAAGCAAACAATGGTAAAGAGGAAGACAATTTAACCAAGTATAATACGATACAAACAAATGTAAACAATAAGTAGATTTAACCACAGGGAGTGAAGGTATACAAACAATGGTGTGTCTACAAAAGTCTCCCGTGTTGTCTGTTGTTTATAGATGACACTAATGACACGATAGACCTAATGACACGATAGACCAACAGATGGAGAGGTAAAGACTGAAAACATATACTGCATACATATATAGATACACATAGAATCACACAGACAATTGATGTTTATGACAAATACTGTTGACACTGTGTATGTATGTATGTCTGTATGTATGTATGTATGTATGTATGTATAATTTTCAGTCACATTAAGTTACTCAGTTAAACATTTAAGAGAAAATTAGAATCGTATTAAGATAAATAAACATTTGGGTTAAATATATTTGAGAATAATGTTGTGTTTGTGAGGTTAGGTTAATGTTTAGTCACAGTTTATTCCCGTGGTGACAACTGGTAACTTTGAATCACCTGAGGACTTGTTGCTACCCGTTAATTAGCTTGATGATTAAACACTAACGCTAACCCTAACCTAACTTGACACTAACTTACCTAACCACACACACACACACACACACACACACAGTATAAACAGACGGTTGTAGGTACTAGTAGTGATGCCTTGAGAGAGAGAGAGAGAGAGAGAGAGAGAGAGAGAGAGACGCGCAGCAGCTGGGGAGAGACGCGACACCGAGGCGCCGCTCTTCCCTCGCTCGGGTGAAAACAAAGAAAAAAAATGTATACTGGTCGGTTAGTTGCCGAGGCTGCCGCAAAACACTCTCAAGGTCACTCTTCTTAACACTGGACTACAACCGCTCACAACACTACACCGACATTCTTCCTCACCATCTCGTTTATTCACGGATATTTAACCTAACCTTACGCTACCTGGTGGAACGGAGGCGGACGAGAGGGGGGTTAAGTTAATGTTAGTTTAGGTGAGGTTAACTTAAGTTACTTCAGGTTAGATTAGTTTTAAGTTAGATTAATTTAGGTTAGGATAGGCTAGTTTAAGTCAGGTTAGGTTAGTCTAAGTTAGATTAATTTAGGTTAGGATAGGCTAGTTTAAGTCAGGTTAGGTTAGTCTAAGTTAGATTAATTTAGGTTAGGATAGGCTAGTTTAAGTCAGGTTAGGTTAGTCTAAGTTAGATTAATTTAGGTTAGGATAGGCTAGTTTAAGTCAGGTTAGGTTAGTCTAAGTTAACTACAAAATGAACAACGAATTTGAACTAAAGTCGTCAACACACCAACACTTATTACGATAACAGAAAGTCGTATCCTAGGAGTGTCTGAATCTGGGACCTTGACTGACTAGCTAAAGTAAACATCGCCACAAATTACTCAACATAATCTCCC